CAGAAAAACACCTGCCTCTCCCCACTCCCCCCCAATGAGAAAAACACCTTCCTTCATCCCTGTCTAGTTACATCCCTTTTTGGATTTGTCCTTCTAACCAAGTACTTCCGTTGTTGTTGTTGTTAAGAGCTTTGAGTTGGTTCTTACTCACAGTGACTCTGTATAGGCTTTCCAAGGAACAGCTGGTGAGTTTGAACTACTGACCTTGTGATTCAAACTGACCTTGAGAACTTGTGGTCCAGTGTTTTATTCACAAGTCACACCAGAATTTCTTTTGAATTTATCCTCTAGGCAAGTGCCTCTACTAAAAGATAATCATTACTGCATTTTATCACTTCATTGACACTTCTCAAATATCACATGAGTTCTTAATGAGCAAATCAAATGCACATTAAACATCTTCACCTTGATTCAACTTGCCAGCACTGGAGGTCTTAATCACCACTTCCTCCTTTTGACTTTTATACCTCTCTTTTTGACACTGTTAGCTTCTTTCCTTGTTTAAATAATATCACCATGCCTCCCTTGCTTTAGCTATTACTTTGCACATCTTTCACAAGTGATTAACAAGCCTTCCATAAGAGTGGCCCATTTTTAGCTTATTTATCTTTAGAATGTAACTCTCTAATATCAGGATCAATGCTTCTCTAATATGTCCAGATAATAAGAGTTATTGGCTAAAAGCAGTGATATTTTAAGCAATTAAAGCATGAAAGATCATTTAAGATTATGCATTTTCTCACCATGGGACTATTTTTACTTTGAAGAAAAAAATTAGCATATAAGCATTTTACATTTTTTCCTCAATTGCCCTAGTTGCCAAGAAGTTCCTTTATAGATAATCTCCACACATAACGATTTCCATGCCTACACTCTCCAATCTTTTTAATTGTTTAAAGATGGTCAGTTAGAGCATCAACCTCCACATTTCTGATTGAGCTAATTAAATCCTTTTCTAAGACTGCCTCCTAGATACCACTATTATGGAAGCTCTGGTAGCATAGTGGTTACGAATCAGGCTGTGAACCTCAAGGTCAGCAGTTCAAAACTACCAGCTGTTCCATGGGAGAAAGATGAGGCTTTCTGCTCCCATAAAGATTTATAGCCTCGGTGCAGGGTTGCTATGAGTCGGAACTGACTCCACCGCACATAACAAAAGACTGCCTCCTGGATTCCAAATCCAGTTAATGTACCTAGTCAGAAACATGGAAGTCCTTGTTGGCTTTCCTCTCTCCCCACCACCCATAAGCATTCAGTGACCAAAGAGAACCCACTCCACTTTTTAGATATCTGTCTATTCTGTACAGACCGCTCTATCTTATATATAGAACTCTGGCCCAGTTTCCCTGAGATTGTTAGGTTGTTGTTAAAAGTACCATGGAGTCTGTTCCGACTGGCAATTACCCTGCAGAGGATTTCCGAGGAGTGCTTGGTAAACTTGAACCACTGACCTTGTGGTTCAGGCTGATTTTGCAGGTTAGTTCATTAACCTGGAGTGCCACACCAGAACTCCATATGATAAGTAGTGGGCTGTTACCTGTAAGGTCAGCAGTTCAAGCCCACCAGCTGCTCTGTAGGACAAAAGTAGACTTTCTGTTCCTGTAAAGATTTATAATCTCAGAAACCCTATAAAGGGTTAGTATGAGTTGGAATCCACGAATACCCTCAGATTTGGTTTGAGATAATATGGGTTGAAATTAAAACAAATCAACTTAACTCTTTATTAAGTTTTTAGCATAACTCGAGAAGATAATTATACCACATTATTTTAAAGCACACAATTTTCTGTTTATGTCCTTAGTGTTACATAGTTGAAGGACAAAAAAAGAATGATCTAAAATCCCATTCACTGATTTTATTGTTAACCATAATATTCATTTTAAGTTGTTAAAGATAGTCTATAGAACTGAAGTGCTGTGTTGTACTGTAGGAAAAACACTGGACTGGTAAGCACAAGGTTGGCAGTTCAAACCCACCAATCACTCCTTGAAAAAACTATATAGGCTTGCTATAAGTCTGAACTGACTTGAAGTCACTTAACAACAGCAGCAACATACAATAGAATTAAACAAAAATTAAACTAAACCTATAGCATTAACAATCAATATTTTCATCACAAAAGAGCTGTAAGTATAAAGACAGAGATGTTGATACACAAATCTTTATTATTAAATTTTATTTGGAGATATGTATCTGGTGAAGGCATGACTTTAATAAAAAAAATCATCTTCTCTGATTCTGTCTTTCATCAAAAAGCCTAGAGATGCAATGACAATTCAGTAGCAATGAGAAACCCCACTAACCAAATTTTAATCTCAGAACATCATTAGCCAATAAAGGGAACCAGGATTCCTTCAAGCAGTGACTGACTGAATTTGGCACAAGAAGATACAAAATTAACTTTGGAAATATATTTGCTACTAGCAAGAACATTCAAAAAGATATTACTGTTGCTGTTAGTGCCTTGAAATCAGTTATGATCCATAGCAACCCTGTACAGGGTTTCCCAGAAGCGGCTGGTGGGTTTGAGGTCCAGTCCCTATCCTATGTTGTTGTTAAGTGCCCTTGCATCAGTTCCGACTCGTAGTGACACTGTATAGGCTTTCTGAGGAGTGACTGGTGAGTCGGAACCACCGACATTGCAGTTCAAACAATCTTTGAGTCAAGCCCTTATCTTATTGCACCATACTTTGTCTTATTGACAAAATGACAGATATCAAATGAACCATACTGACTTGTAATGGTACAACTGAGGGTAAAAATTAATAATGACTGAGTTAAAATTCATAAATTAACAACATATATATTTGTATAGAGACTGTAATAATAAAACTGGTCCCCGTTGAAGATTGCTAGCTCATTATACTGAAAATTGATAATTAAATGGAAAGATGCTTATGCAAGCTTCTTTCAGGATAGCCAAGTAAAGGAAGAATTCTTTACTGCTGAATTCCAGTTGATTAATGGGGAAAGAATAAGAAAATTAGTAAGTGATTTCTATAGAAATAAAATATCTAGGCATGATCATCAGTGAAATTAGTAGTAGGCAAAATGCAGAATTTCTTTCGGTTCTAATTTGAACAGGCATAGTAAACAAATGGGAAAATTTATTTATAAACTGGGTATTAGACAATAATGATAAAGAATTTTTCTCATATTTTGGTTAATGACATCTTGATTAGAAAAGAAGTAAAGACCCTGGGTTAAAACTTTCTAAATCTAGGTTCTTCTTTTAAATATTTAGCAAAAAGGACAAGATAAATGTAGTAGAAGGAAAGATAGCTAAAATTGGAAAAATTTTGATAATTATTAAAACTTCGTGTAGATTTTTATTGTGCCAACTTTGTCAAACTGGAAACACATATCCCTGCAGTTTGGGTTTAGAATGAACCAAAGTATTCAATTTTTGCAAGATGTGGTAAGCAGAAGGCAACCAGGGTCACATTCTTTTTATACTTAGGTCCTTACAGGGCCCCAGGAACACTTGAGCATATCACTGATCTCTTGGCTCACCTTGTTGGCACGGCACAGCAGCTGAACCGACAGCAACTCCAGCTCCTGCCAAATTCTTCTTTAGCATTTCCCACTTCTGGCCCCGATGCATGTTTAGTTCCATGATGAAGAATGATGGCTGCTTCTGTAGGTCATTCCTATCATTGGTGTTGGAAGCTTGGAGGTGATAAGGCTACTGTGGTGGTGGTGGTGGTGGTGGTGGTGGTTATGTGCCGTGTAGTCGGTTGCGACTCATAGCGACCCTGTACTGGGTTTCCGAGGCTGTAAATCTTTACAGGAGCAGAAAGCCTCATCTTTCTTCCATGGAACAGCTGGTAGTTTTGAATTTATTGTTGGTAAGTGCCGTTGAGTAAGTTCCGAACCACAGCAATCTGTATTGCATTTCCAAGCAGCGACTGGTGAGCTTCAGCTGTCAATGTTACAATTCAAATCGACTTTGCAGTCCAAACTGACTTTGCAATCCAGTACCTTAGCCCACAGCGCCAATATTAAGCCTTTAATTTTAGGTTAGAATAGTTTAAACAAATCTACTCTCCTCTCCTTTTCCCTCTTCTCCCTAACTCTCCTTTTCCCTCTCCTCTGTTCTCTTTTCATCTCCCAATCCTTTTCTTTTCTTTTGCTTCTTTGGCCTTCAACCTAAGAAGGCTATCTTCAGTTCTTTTTAAATTAGTGAATTCACAAACTGGCCTCCATGAATTATTGGTCAAGTCTTACCTCCCCAGAACGAAATGAAAAATCAATCAATAAAATAGATTTTTAAAAATAATGTAAACCATTAAAAGAGGATTTTTTTTTTTTTTAACGTTGTGTTACTGTTAAGTATGGTCGAGTGGATTCCAATCCTTGTAAACGGTTTTCAAGGTGAGACTGGTGAGTGTGACCTTGTGGTTTAAACAGACTTTGTGGTCTTACAGCATCACACTAGAACTCCTATACTCCTCTAATATTTTGTGTTCAAATGTTGTATTGTGCATGAAATTGTTTTGCTTTCTTGCTAATATTCTTAGTTGACATGCTAAAATGTTAGTGTTCTTATTTGTTGTTTGCCGTGGGATCAGCCCTCACATAGAAACCTAATGTAACAGGGTATGACTGCCTCAATTGAGGGTTTTCTAGACTGTAGTCCTGGCATGGTGCTGTGCGAGAAAGCACTGGACCCCAAAGTTGGTTTGTGGTTGAACCACAAGGTCAGTGGTTCAAACTCAGCAACTGTTCCTTGGAAACCCTATACAGGGTCTCTATGAGTTAGAATCTACTCGACAGCACTTAACAACAACAATCATTACAAGAGTAGATTGTCTGTTCTTTTCTCCCTCAAAGCTGTTGAGTGGGTTCTAATGTCCATGTCTTGGTTAGAAGGTCAGCATTGAACCATTGCATCATCCATAAAGCCTGTTGTCATAGAGCCATTCCTGCTCATAACACCCTACAGGGAAGAGTAGAGCTGTCCTTATAGCTTTTCAAAGGTTGCAATCTTTATGAAATAGACTCAAACATAGCAATGATTATGAGGTTGGCCCAGAACCAGGCAGTGTTTCGTCCTATTGTGCATAAGGTCACTATGAGTTGGTACCAAGTTGATGGCATGTAACAACAACAACAACAACAACAGTCTTTATAAAGGAGTCCTGGTGTAGCACTGTGGGTTAATGTGCAAGGTTGATTTGAGCCTCAATGTTGGTGGTTCAAGCTCATCAGCTGCTTCTTGGAAACCTTATACAGAGTTGCTATGAGTCAGAACCATCTCAACAGCACTTAACAAAAACAACAGTCATTACAAGAGCAGATCAACAATCTTTATAAAAGCAGACTGCCACATCTTTCCCCTATGGGGTGGCTGGTGGGGTGGAACCAACCACCTTTCAATTAGTACCTGACCTCTGAAAAACTGCAGAATCTGAGCTCCTTCACTAACCAAAAGACTCCTTTTTCTTATTTATCTTAACCCAATTTACTCCCATCAAGTTATATAAAGTAATTTACATTAATCTGGTAATATTGATATTACTACTGTCACATAAGATTCGTTTTTGGGTTTTTTTGCAAGAATGTCCTTTATAGATTTTACCATTCAATTTCAAAAAAATTGTTAATAACTATTCATAGAAATATAATACATTAAGATGTGACGTTTAAAAAACATGTAGTCTATGTATCAGAATGGGACACTGTCAATGGTATATTTATGAAAGAAAATAAAACTAACTCATATGACAGCATGTATACTATGATTCCATTAAAAAAAAATTATTGTGAATTGGGTGATAGTTTACATGGCAGAACATCAGCTTTACACTCATCTATTGTATTTCATTTCTTTGCAATGACTACAATCCCCTCTATGCATCATCATTAAGCAGCATTTGCTTCCATTCCCTCTGGTTTTTTTGTATTTTTTATGTACACCAAAGCACTCAGGAATATATAACCATTCAAACAACCAAAGAGCATATCCTGCAAGCCTGCCCCCAGCAACCAGCACACTACCCTTCTCCCTCCTAGAATCTAGAGTCCCTAGCTGCTCCATCTCTCCACATCATTGTCTCTGCCTCCATCTCTGGCATTGCTGCTTCTCTGGACAGGGTCCCACACTCCTCTCTTCTCCCCTGATGGTCCCAGGGTCCTCTGCTCCTGGATTCCAAGATCAACCACTCCCTTCCTTTTGTTACAAAATGTCTACTGTTACATTTGCAACACTCACAATCAGTCCTGATAGCAATTATTCACTAATGAACCACAAGAGTCTTATCCCCATCTCCTTTCACCAGCCCCATCTAGACAGGTTGGAAACCACTCAGTGGAGATTCTACCTTCCATCATACCCTCTGAAACTAAGCTGCCTCTTGAAAACTTGTAAGCCAGTCACTTCATGCCTTTGTAGTCCCCCCTCCCCCCGCCATTTTGGGTAGCTGATGACAACATCCCTGTCAAACCTGTATACAGAGGGGTTGGAATAATCCTTGCTGTAAAGATTCATTCTCTCTTTTAAGCTACTACATCCATAGGTATAGGTCAAGTTCATCAAATTGGAGCGGATTACACTTTTTTTTTTTTTTTTTTTCACTCTTCTTTCTTCCTCTAGTCAAGTTCTGATCATCCAGGCACTGAAGCAAGGTCAAATGGGTACTGTCTGCAAGCATGGGTATTCTTGTGCATCTCCCCTCACTTCATATCAGTTGGATGCTTCCCACTCTGCTCTACTCCTCTGTGACTATGTCCCTGTTCACGGGCTTAGGCGTCCTCAGGTCTTGCTATACTGCTGGCCAACCAGGCCTCAATCCAGTTTGACAGAAGTTTATTGAACGTGGTCAGACTTAGCCCACAGCTTCATTTCTGTTTTTTTCCCCACTTCCCCTTATTCATAGAGCAATGTGGTCACCAGCAAGATTACATGTCTTCTCGTGTGTTTCCTTTGAGTTTCAATCTTAGAAGAGGGTTTTCCCTAAGGGTATTTGATTGTTTGCCTTGATGGCTCCCTACAAACAACTTGCTTGTTCTTGTAGTAGTTAGTCAGACTGCCATTATTATTTTTTATTTTTCCTGCTAGTCTTTCTTTCAAGAAGTATCTTCTGTTCCTCTAGCTGCCCCAGGATGGTCTACATGTCTTCTCAAGTGGAAATTTCCCACCTAAGAAGATTTTGGATGGGGCTCAGAATTCCACCTAAGGGCCTATACACTGCAAAGGCCCTGCAAGAAGCTTATTTCACTGGACAAGTTTTAGAATCCCTTTTAGGTATTCCAATCAGTTATAGGCTGAAAACGGGCTTACAGACTTTCTGTAACCATGTTTCCCAGCATTCCTTTCTATCCCACTCAAGTGTCTATTTTACAACAGTACACAAGGGAAATCAATATTCATAAGCCAGTCAAGCAATAAGATTAGCTTTTGAACAATAATTAAAATACTGTTTCCTATTCCTCCATTTTCAAATGAAATATCCCTGTAGTTTATTTTTTAAGACTCATATTAAATGTTTATTTCTCTGAAATATTTTCCAGAATTCCTATAGGAAAATACAATTTATTTTCTCCTCTGTAATACTATTAGACCTTTCTGTTAATACAATCATCACACCCAACTGAGACTGTTAATATAAGAATTTTTCTACAAGGCTATAGGTAGTATAGTGGGTTACTTATTGGGCTGCTAATTGCAAAGTCAGCAGTTGAAATTTACCAACTGCTCCTCAAGAGAAACATGAGGCTTTCTGCTCCCTTAAAGATTTATAGCCTCAGAAACCCTACAGACGGTGGCTTTGAGTCAGAACTGACACAATGGCATGCCACCACTACCATAATTTATGAGTGTTGTTGTTAGGTGTTGTCCAATTAGTTCTGACTAATATCAACACTATGCACAATACTTTGAGTTTCTTAAGAAAACAAAATAGTTTCTTGCTTCCTTTTATTTCCCCCTACTTTCAAGATAACAATTGTTTGAAGAGTTGAATGAATAAATTCGTGTATAAAAATGTTTGTATTACTCCTTGTTCTGATAAAAAAAAGGGGGAATATACATATATTAGGATATTTGTAAAAGGGATCTTTCTACAGAGGTAAATATTAGAAATACCATGAGAATCTCATCAATCCAACTTTTCATTTTAACATATTCACAGGAATATGTTCATTGTGGGGAAGGATAATGATATTTCAGGGACTTTGAACCTCTTTATATGGTCTCTATATCAAAGCTCTCATTTGATGATTGAATGAAGATTTATATCTTCATAGATACTTGGTTCTGATGTTAAATTAGTTATATAATTCAAGGCAGTTAATTTAATATAACCTTTTAATGTCCTACTCTTAAAATGTAGTATCTATTCTAGATTTAATTTCAAGCATACTTTATAATATAGTTTGAATTGCACATTTTTGTCCATGAGTGGCTCAGGGTAAGTATTGGATATAATGACCCACAATGTCAGTGGTTGGAGTCCACCAGCCAATCCTTAGGAAAAGGACAAGACTTTCTGCTACTGCAAGATTTATGGCCTCAGAAGCCCTCTACAGGGTTGCTATCTGTCAGAACGGACTCAACAACACTTAACAATAACAACAAAAACTGTAAATAAAGTTGTCCAATGGAAAAGATATGGTATAGCAGTTTAATTTCATTTTCATGCCCTCAATCTTTGTAGTTTACTAGGATTTTCTATCAAAATCCTATCAGTTAACCAGGTCCACTCCAATTATCCTTTAGTATAAATAACTTTAAAGAGCTATTATAAGTGAATTTAAAAACAAGATCTCTAGAAATGGTCCTCTTTCAAAATATTACTTGAGTGAAGGGACTACTTCTAAATAGTTATTTCATAGCCAACAACTATTACTGTTATAGCAAAAGCAGCTTTTCAGGTTCCAAAATATCAACTGTTGTCTCTTGAACTGAAACCATTGTAAGCATATAGCTATCCTCCCTACATTTTTCCAGAGTTAAAAATAAGAAGATGTGTAATTCCAATCAGCATACCTTTTATTGTTGTTGTTGTTAAGTGCCGTGGAGTCAGTTCCGACCTATAGCGACCCTGTACAGGGTTTCCGAGGCTGTAAATCTTTACGGGAGCAGAAAGCCTCAGCTTTCTCCTGAAGAGCGGCTGGTAGTTTCGAACTACTGACCTTAAGGTTTGCAGCTTGATTCATAACCACTATGCTACCAGGGCTCCTTATATTGGCAGGATTAAATTTACAGAAAAATAAAAAGAGAAATAAAGGCGTTGTGCCAAATATTTCTTAAATACTTTAGTTCCTTGGATAGGCTCATTATTGCAATGTGAGGCTTAATTGTTTTTCTTCAATCTATCACCTTGAGAAATGTTGAGTGTGTTCTTCCCTTTTGGTTTTATAAATCCACGTCTTTGCACATATCATTATAATACTTGCCTTTGTCATCTCTAGCTGCCCTTTGAAATTTTCTTTTTCAGCTCTTGTACCTATTCATTTCTTTCATTTGTTTTAGCATCTCTAAGCTGCATAGCAAGCTTTAGTGTCTCTTCTGACATCCATTTTTGTCTTTTCTTGTTTCTTGTCTTCCTAATGACCTTTTGTTTCTTCCTGTATGATGAACAATATGCCAATATAATGTATTAAAAATAAAAATGTCTGTAATCACAAGATATCAAAATTTTAAGCATAGGCAAGGTCACTTTTATTGATTTTTCCTTTTGTCTATGGTTCTGCTACCTATCAGCACAGCACTGGATGGGAGGTCCAAACTTGAATGTAAAGAGTCTGAGTGCAAAATCTAGTCCCATCCCTAAGAAATTGTATAGCATCAAGCATCTTATACAAATTATCTGTACTTTTACATTCTAAGATGTAAACTTCAGGAGGAAATAATATATCTACCTTATTCAGTTATTGAGAGGAATAAGTGAGTTATATGCATAAACTTTTTATAATGTCAACACCCCATTAGTATTAGCTAGTATTATTTTTGGAGTCTTGGTGGGGCACTGTGGGTTAATGTGCTGGACTACCAATTGATTTGAACTGCAAGGTTGGCAGTT